CACAGGGACCTGCAGGGCTGGGACAGGGCTGCAGGGACTGAGACTGACCACACCGGGGGTGCCTGCGGCTGTCCAGGGCAGGGAACAGAGATGGAAGGGGCTGGGGAATCCCTGAGGGAGCTGGGAAGGGGCTGAGCCTGGAGCAAAGGAGGCTCAGGGGGACCTTGTGGCTCTGCACAGCTCCTGCCAGGAGGGAACAGCCGGGGGAGTTGGGCTGGGAACAGGGACAGGAGCAGAGGGAACGGCCCCAGGCTGGGCTGGGGAGGCTCAGGGGGGATTTTGGGGACAATTCTTCATGGAAAGGGTGCTCAGGCATTGGAAGGGCTGCTGGTGGAGTCCCCACGCTGGAGGGGTTTGATCAGGATTCCCACAGGGTCCCCCAGATCTCCCGTCTCAGCCCTTCCACCCTCACCCAGGGTCTGAGGCCGGGGTCTCTCTTCCTCCTGGCTGGTAGAAGCAGCTGAAAGACAGGACTGACAGAATAAATAAAGGTGTTCAGCTCAGGAGCTTCCTGCTCTGGGCCTGTCACAGAAAACAGGGAGTGGTTCCTCCATTGGGGTTGGAAATGGTTCCTCCATTTGGGGTTGGAAATGGTTCCTCCATTGGGGTTGGAAATGGTTCCTCCATTGGGGTTGGAAATGGTTCCCTATTTGGGGTTGGAAATGGTTCCTCCATTTGGGGTTGGAAATGGTTCCTCCATTTGGATTGGAAATGGTTCCTCCATTTGGGGTTGGAAATGGTTCCTCCATTGGGGTTGGAAATGGTTCCTCCATTGGGGTTGGAAATGGTTCCTCCATTTGGGGTTTTCTTCTCGGCTCCCTGCAGTCCCACCCCTTTCCAAGGGGAAGCATTTCACTGTCGGGGGATCCCAGAGCCCTCCTGAGCAGGGCTCTGCTCCCAGGAGCACTCCTGGCACGGAGCTGCACCAACAAAAGGGATTTAAATGTTTGAGGCAGGACTTCTATCTGCCGTTGCTTTTTCCTGCGTGGCTGCACCTTTTTAGCAGATTTTAGGAAGTCAAAATCTCCCAATCCCTCCTGCAGCCAAGCCCTGGGCTGAGCCTGTTCTCAGTCGTGGTTCCCAGGCCCAGGCAGCTCCTGCAGCACATCCTCATTTTCCTTCTATTCTGTCTCACAAACAGAGCTTTCCTGCATCTCTCAAAGTCGTCTTACACCATTCTTATAATCTAATTTAGTGTTCCCAAGGAGAGTCTTAATTTTTTGTATATTGCTGGAGTTTAACTGCCATAATAAAGGACAATTTTCAGGTGATAAAACACACCAGGAATGTCATTAAATATGCAGCAAAGGTCTGACACAATGGAATTAAGCATTAATGAATAACATACTAGAAATATTAGTCTTCCATATTAGTTTAGGTGTTCTGTTGTTGGGTTATGACGAGGGCTAATGGGAAAAAATGAAACAATAAACAAAATTAGTGAAAATGAAATTTCCAAGTGATTCAGTAGCTTCTTTGTGTGTAGAAAGTTTCTAAGTTAAAGCCGTTGGGTATCCACAGGAATCCTTTTCCTTGGATGAACTGTTGTCATTCCATGTGTTAATGTAATTTTATTATTGGTGCACTTCCCATTTTTACAATTGAATTGCCATACTCTGGAGCTGTAATTTAAATCCGAGCCCATCTGCAGATCAGGGCAGCTGGAAACTCCTTTTGGTGCCACAAGCGAGGACTTTGGAGCTCTTGGCAAGCAGAGGTGGGCATTCCTGGGGAGCAGGGTATGAATTGTCCTAGTGAAGAAGCACCAACACTCCACGGTGAAAATCTCCATTTTGGGGTGCTCCCTGTGCTGGGGCAGCCGAGCTGTGCCGGGGGTTTGTTGTTCCCAGAACTCTGATAAACACCCAGGAGACAGCTCTTGGCGGCTGCTAATTCTAAAGGAATGTATTAATCAAATTAATTGAGAGTTCCTTTTAACAATCATCAGCACCAACATGACTTGGTGAGGCGATGTTTTCAGTGACACCAAAAGTGATTCCCCCAAAAGGATCTCTGCAGATAAATCAGCTGAAAAATGTTAAATTGTCTCTTTTGCTACCTGATAATGCAATTAAGTGCTGATAAGGAAACAGCTGCTGGAGGATGTCAGGGGAGCAGAAAAACGTGCCTGGTGTTGTGGCAGGAGCCAAGCAGCACCCAGCCATGGGTGGGTATCCACTGCCCTCCCAGCCCGGGCATCCCAAACACTGCCAGCTGGGTGCCAGCCCCGGCTGCAGAGAGCCCTGGGGGCTCTGCCTGCCAGGGCAGGGGTCTGGGGGCAGGAACAGGCAGGGTACGGGTCAGGGGGCAGGAACAGGCAGGGCACAGCTCAGGGCATGGTTAGGGCATGGCACAGGGCTGGCAGAACAGCCAGGGCACGGCTCAGAGGGGCAGGAGCAGCCAGGGCACAGCTCAAGGGGCACAAGCAGCCAGGGCACAGCTCAGGGCATGGCACAGGGCTGGCAGGAACAGCCAGGGCATGGTACAGGGTTCAGGGCACAGTTCAGGCACGGCTCAGGGCATGGCTCAGGGTTCAGGGCACGGCTCAGGCTCTGCTGTGTCCCCAGCCCATGTGCTCCCTGCTGATTTGGGTCCTGGCTGCCCCCGGACCTCCATGCCAGGCTCTGCCACAGGACCCCCTGAGCTGAGGGCACACGGGCTCCGAGGACAGACCCTTGATCCCAGCAGCCTGAGCCTCTTGGCAGGTTCGTGCTGTGGCACCCACAAATCCCATCCACAGTGGTTTGGGTTGGGGGGCACCCGCAGGATCTCCCTGTGCCACACTTCCCGCGTGGTGGGACACCTCCCCCTGCCCCAGCTGCTGCCAGGGCTGGCTGTGGGCACTGCCAGGGGTGCAGGGGCAGCCCCAGCTGCTCTGGACGTGTCACAGCAGCCCCTGCTCGTCCCGGGGTGTCTCTGCTCCCAGGCCCCAGCCATGGCCCATGGCCAGGCACTTTGTGCTGCTCGGAGCATTTGTCACTCCTCCAGGCCACGGGGTAATGAATTACTGCAGGAATCCTGTGACAAGATCCTGAATTTGCAGCTTTCCTGTTTCACCACCCGATTCCCTCGGAGGTTTTTCCCTCGGAAGGGCTGTGAATGAACCTGACAGTTCCAATAACTGTGCACACGTTTCCTGCTGTGCTGGAATGTGGGATGAGAATATGAAAGCTGAATTTATTCCACGGAGCCTTTTGGACAGCAGACACTCTGCTTGCCAAGGGGTGACAGAGGGCACGCTGATATTTGCCATTTCTGTAATTCCTCCTTGCCATTTAGCCCTCGTTCCTTTGAGCAGAGGTGGTGCCAAGGCTAGCAGGGCACCATGGCATCTGCTCCTTTGGGAAAGCTCTCCCACTGCCCGTGGGATCCCTGCCAAGTGGGACATTCTGGGAGAGCTGGAGAGCACTGCTCGTGGCCTTGGGTTCATTCTGTCTAATTCTGACTGGGGAAAATGGAGCATGGAAAGCTGTTCAGATTTCTGAACTCGCTGGCACTGCGACTTTCAATCTTCATTTAAACTGAAGTTTATTTTTAAAACTCAGTAGTGTTTGCTTTTAAAGGGAAAAAACAAAAGGTTGCAGAAAGTCCAGGTTGTGATAATTGCAAAACAAAATGAAATGTTTTATGTGAGCCATTGGGGGTTATTATTCTCCTTTATTCTCTTCCAGCCTTTCCTGTTCAGTGTTCCATTTCTCCCCACTGAGACAGTGGTTTTCCCTCCCGAGCTGTTGGAGCAGCCCCAGCAGAGCTCCTCTGCCTTCAGGCAGCTGCAGCTCCGCTCCTCTCTGGCAGGAACCGAGGCTGACCTGCTTTGGGAGGGCTCGGGGCTGGGCACAGCACTGCATTTCACCTTTTCCAGGCAGACTTTGGTGTTCCCAGCTGTCCTGTGTCTCTCTCCAGGTTTGCTTTGCCCTGGGATGAGGAGGATGCTCCGAGGCTTGAGCCTCCTCCTCCTCCAGGTCCTTCACCCTCCAACAGCTTCTCCAGTGCTTCAATTACCAGGACTTTAAAATCTGGGTTTTAAAGCCTATCTGTGAATCTCTCCCTTGTCCTTGCTGCCTTTTAATTAACTCATCCCCACTGCTGGTTTTTATGAGGAGCTCTGATACGTTATTAATTAACGCACTGTGCACTATGGTGAGCAGGTTGGTATCAAAGATGCCGTAAAAGATGAAAGCGATTGCTCCTGAGAAACAAAATAATTAAGGCAAAAGTTGTGTTTTCATCTGCCAGCAACAACCGGAATGGCAGTGGAGTTGGGATTTTTTAAATTGTTTTTTCTACCAGACTAGACAGCTGTAGAAGGGGAGCTGTGCTAAGAGCGGGTGGGGTTTGCTCTGGCTGTAGGACCTGTGCTGTGCTGATGCTCTTTGCTGTGTTCTCTGGGTGTTTAGAGCAGTCCCTTTCACAGACTTTGCTGGAGGTCTCGCTGTTGGTGTCTCTCCATCCTGTTTGGGGCTGGGCACTGGAATGCTCGGGGGTTTTCTTGCACAGCGTGGGGTTTGCCCATGTCTCAGCTTGGGCTGTTCCTGTTCCGGGTAAGTCATTCCAGTGCAAGCATTTTCCCCCAGGAGCCCTCAAGTTGCAAAATCAAAAAGGATCTCAGCCCCTCACTGAGATAAACCTGGTCAGTACCCTGTCAGTACCTTCTGCCTCTCAGCCTGTTGTTTTGGGGTTTATCCATCAGTTTAGGCTTGCTCAGGCTGCTGTTGTGTCCTCTTTTAATTCCTCTCCTTTTCATCCTTCCCCTGCCCATTTCTTTGCTTATTTTGCTGTTCTGCAGCAGGTTGGGCACAGTCTGTGTGATCCCTGACCCTCCCAGCCGTGCAGGCTGTGCTAGCAGAGCAGGAATTGCATGGATCCCTCAGGATATGGCCATGGAGAGCTGGAAGGGCAGAGATCCGCGGCAGTTCCTCCCCTCCCCACCGCCTTTGCTGGGCTCTCCGAGTTCCCTGCCCTCCCCTGAAGGTCCCTTTGTGCTCTGCTCTGTGGCACAGGTGGGCTCTGCATCGCCCAGTCCCTGAAGATCCCCCAGGACCGCAAGGACAAGAGCATCGACTTTGACAGGATCATCCGGCAGCTGCTGGAGACGCCCAACGCCAGGGCCATCGTCATCTTCGCCAACGACGAGGACATCAGGTACGGCCGGTGCCACGCGGGACACGGGGGCTGGCAGCGTGGGGAGGCACCACACGAGGCTGCTGTGCCTGGCTGGTGGCTGCTGGGGAACAGGGACTGGGATCTGGGAGCTTTCCTGCCGTGTTGGGTGGCAGAGCTGACCTTTCCTCTCAGAGGAATTACAAACACGCCCCCCTCTCCAGGCTCATCCTGCTTGGTGTAATTCCTTAATTCAGTCTATTTTACAGCAACTGAAAGTTAACAGTGATAAAGTGATGCTCAAGGTTAAACCATATGGAATGGGCTCGTAAAACAACACAAAGAATATTTTATATTTCATTGCTCACTTGTGTATTCTGGGTCCAGAATTTGAAATTAGTTTAAAATTGTGATGGAATCATCAGTTGCTGAGAGGCCTGGTCCCACAAAACAAGACAAAAAGAATTTAGGGGAAAGTTTCAGTAAAGTCAGTGGAAAAACTCTTGAGTTTTAGTGGAATCAATAACTCAGCCATGGGATATGGGGTGAATTTGAAGAGAAGTCCCGTTGGTGCGGCACAATTCATGGGATGGTTTGGGTTGGGTTGGAGATCATCCAGCTCCATCCTTCCCTGGCCCAGGCTGCCCTGGTGATGCAGTGTCCCAGCCCCTGGGCTCTGCTGGGCTCAGGAATGTGCTCTTCCTCCTCACCACAGCCTCGGTGGGGTGGGAAGGGACCTCTGAGCCCACGGGGTGCAGCCATTCCACCACTGCCACCCCCATTCCCTAGGGCAGCCCCACGTTTGGGGGAGATCCCGTTGAACACCGAACGTTCCTGTCCACAGGCAGGTCCTGGCAGCTGCCAAGAGGGCGGATCAGGTGGGACATTTCCTCTGGGTGGGCTCCGACACCTGGGGCTCCAAGGTGAGCCCGCTGCTGCAGCAGGAGGACGTGGCCGAGGGAGCCATCACCATCCTGCCCAAGAGAGCCACCATCGAGGGTAAGAGCCTGCCCCTGCCTGTCCCTGCCTGCCCTTTCCCCTCCCCCTGCCTGCCCCTGCCCCTGCCCCTGCCTGCCCCTGCCTGCCCTTTCCCCTGCCCCTGCCCCTGCCCCTGCCCCTGCCCCTGCCTGTCCTCCCGAGGCTCTGGGGATGCCCCGGTGGGCACACACAGTGCCAGGCCCTTGGAATGCCTGATTCCTCCCTGATTCCTCCCTGAATTCTTCCCTGAATTCATCCCTGAATTCCTCCCTGATTCCTCCCTAAATTCCTCCCTGAATTCCTCCCTGATTCCTCCCTAAATTCCTCCCTGATTTCCTCCCTGAATTCCTCCCTGAATTCCTCCCTGATTCCTCCCTGAATTCCTCCCTGAATGTCCTCCCTTGGAAAATCGAGGCTGATTCTCAGCTCTGGAAGTCTCAGTGTCTGGGTGCTGGGGTGACCCCAGGAGTGTAAAATCCTCCTTCTCCAGCCCTGCAGCCAAAGGAGCAGTCTGAGTGTGCAGGATCAGCTTCTCAAGGCTGTTTATTTTCCCTTCTCCAGAACATTCTCTCTCTGCCCTGCTGAGCTCAGGAGGGTGTGACAGGGCTTTATCCCTGGAAAGAAAAACCCAACTGATCTGAGCCTCTCACGTGCATACAGGACAGGAGCTTCTCGGGCAATTCGGGTCTCCTCTCTGAAGCAGAGGAGAAGTTTTCTGCTCAAGGACTAAAACTTCATTTTTCAATCAGTGGTTTCCATTTAAACTCAGCTTAACTTTTATTTCAGACCAAGCTCTATATTTATCCATATTGCTCATGTGCTTCAGAAATACCACACCTGTGCAGATGTGTGTGTATGGTGAATTTAGGGAAACTTGTTTTGCTGAATGAATGTTTTGTTTCTTTCTCAACTTTCCTTTATGCTCTCAAGTGTTTGTTGTCTGATCTCACCTCAGTTTGTTAATGCTGTTGTGGGTAAAGATGCTTCAGCATCCTCTGGGCACAGAGGCTGGTCAGGGTCTGTGTTCTCTGACCATGGGGAAAAGCTGTTTCCAGGGGAGGCTCTGAGCAGAGAAACCCAACTCCTCTGCTGGCCCAGTCCACAATAAAGTGGGTTCTGGTGTCTTCACTCCATGGAAAACCAAATATTTGCATTTTTCCTGTGCCTGCACTCCCTGCTCATCAGTTATTCCTCTCAGGTAGATCATCTGCTTCATTCTTTTACATTTTTAGCCCCCCGAGGCATTCTTGGATGTTATTTCTCCGTAAATACAGAAAGTTGACAGACAATGAAGTGGTTTGTTTCTGAAAAGCAGGATATTTTAATAAGCTTTTCACACTGCCTGTATTCATCCCTGAGGGTTTCTGACACAGAAACAAAAATTCTGTCAACAGTACACAGAAACAAAAACTTCCCACGTTTGTTTGTTTTAAAAGATTTTCCTTTTATGTTACACATTAAACCCCCCATGGGAAGCACGAGGGGGTTTTGGATGCAATAAGTGAGGATGGCAGAGTGGGAGAGTTCGGGTGTAGAAAGTCAGTCAAAATAGAGGTATGAGTATCCATGTGTTTGCTGTACCTGCAAAAAACATTGTGTTTATTGAGGCTGCAAATATCTCATTCAGTGGAGAAGCAGCTGAGTAACCTGGGTTCCCCTGTGGGGCTGATCCCACGACTGTCCCATGCCCAGGAGAACAGCCAGGGGATGTGTCAGGAGCCCCCAGGCTTTGGTGTTTCCATGCCCAGGGATGCCCCTGGGTGCTGCCTTCCCCGTGCCCAGGCTGCTGCAGGCTGCCCTGCTTTCCTTTCTGTTCTTTGAGTTTCATTTGGCCACGAGAGCCAGAGAAAGGAATTGGACATTTTAATGTCATCCTTTCGTCATCCAGAAAGGAACACCTAAAATCCAGCAACGCACTGCTTCAGATGAGGGCATGAAATAGAAGAAATAAAGCAGAAAGTGTGTCCCTGCCAACAGAAGGGCCAAACTGCAGGAGCAGGCTGGAGCTGGAGCTCCTTCCCGTGCAGCATCCCGGGGCTCCAGGGCAGGGCCACAGCCCAATTCCCTCTGCTTTTGGTGAGAATTCTGGGCCAGAGTCACAAACGAGGGGCTGCCCTTGGTTTAGTCCCCAAAAGCATCTCGTCTTTGTTTCCCTCTCCTTTCATCGGTGTTTGGGACGTGTTGGAAGGAGGTTCCTCAGAAAGCCTTGCTCAGGCAGAGAGAGCCCTGCAGCTCAGTGCCTTCCCCTGGTGCTGACACTGCCTGTGCCATGGAAAGGGAATAATCTTTGGCTAATCAGCCTGGGAGGTTTGGCTAATCAGCCTGGGAGGTTTGGCTAATCAGCCAGGGAGCCTCCAGCTGCACTGGAGGTGGCTGTGCCTGCCACCTCAGGGGTGCATGGCACATTTTGGGTTAGCAGGGTTTGTCTGCAGGGCTGCTGCTCGCACAGCTCATAAGCTGAAACACTCATTGTACAGAAAAAAAAAGGCATTTTTCAAATTATTCTCCACCCCCAGCCATGACTTCAGGTGAAAATACAGGTGTGAAGTGCAGGTGTGCTGTGGTTTTCCACCTCTGCACACAGGCAGCAGCTGATGCTCCTGCTTTTCTGGCAGTGGGGATATCCCAGCAGCCTGTGGCTCCAGAGGGGGCCTGAAATGTTTGGCTTTTTGTAGGATCAGGCCTCAGATCCACAGTTGTTTGTCATAGTACTTGATGTCACTCTTGGGACAGAATTTTCTTTGCCACAGTCCCATGGGGGGGATTTAGGAAATCATTAGATGAACTGAATTCATTCCTCTTAAGTCAGTCTTAATATAGCCTGATTGTGTTTGATGTAATTATGCTGAAAGGATAAAGTTGCATTTTATTTGCATAATTGCAGTAGACAGTGAGGCAGAGGAGCGCACATGAAAGAGGAATCCCTCCTTGGCACGTTGGGAACACGCTCCAGTCCAGCCCAGCCAGGTGCAGGGAACCTGAAGGGCTTGGAGAGGCTTCCAGAGGAAAAAGAGGAGGTTGCATGTATTTATTTATTTGTTTGTTTGTTTGTTCAGAGAGCAGCTGTGCAGCAGGAAGCTGTTCCCTGCTCCCTGGTGCTCTATGCTGGGCCCTGCTGACACCAGAGGAGATTCCCCGTGCCTCATCCTCAGTCCCAGAATCATTTTCCTCAGCTGTGAGGGCTCTGCTCACCTCCTTTTCCCTGTGGCTGTGCAGGTGTGTGCAGTGGGCAGCTCCTGCTGCTGCAGGCAGTGTCAGCCTGAGCAGAGCTCTGGGATTCCCTGGCTCTCCCTGCCCTTCTCAGGAGCCTGTGCTCTGTCTGCTGGACCCAAGGGGGAAGCAGCTGCAGGAGAAACACAGAGCACAGTACAGAGATTTCCTCTGAATTATTTACAGAGTCTGGCAGAAGCTTTGCTGCTGTGGAGAAAAGCAGACTTTGCTGTCTGAGCTCAGAATTGATGCAGCTGAACAGTGGGACTCAAACAGATTTCAGATGAATGGTTCAATTCCAGAGGCTGGGGATGGGGCTGAGGCTGGACTTTGTGAAGCTCTGGGCAAGAAGGTTGAGGGATGGGCTCATCCCTGTGCTGGATTGGAGCTATATATTTAAAAAATTAAAATCTGCAAGTGCTGCAGGGACAAAACTGTCCCTGGGATTTTCAGTTGTTTGTCTTCCAAAGAGATGTGAATCCTGGTTTGTTTTCATTTCCAACAAGAGCTGCTTCGCTCTTTTTCATTTGGGCAGTATGAACTTTGGAAAAAACAATGGAAGAGCGGTGACTTAAGCAAACCTGAGCCTGAAATCCCCTCCTTGTTTAGGGCTCGGAAGTGTTTTACCCTCACAGCCCCTGAGTGGCAAAGGGAAGGAGCTCAGGGTTCATTTTTCCCTGGAATATTCCCTGGGAATGATGTTCTGCCCACAGCCCTTCCTGCCTGTCCCTCAGTACAACACTGCAGTGACTTGATTTCGTGGAGTCAAACTGGTCTGCTTTACCTAAAAACCTGAAATCTAAACCACACCTGAACTGCCTTTGACCTCCTGGGATTTAAATGGTATTTTTAGTTGTGGCAGTTATTTGAAATGCTGATGTGTCAGTCCCAAAGAGGGAATACTTGTCTCGAGTATTGCCACTTGAAATTTTGGGAAGCCACACAGATGTTCATCTCCTCATTATGGAAATAATGTATTTGGTTAATGTGTTGGTATGAAGAGAGGGGAATACAAATTATCTTGCAACTTGAGAGGGGAACCCCTGAGCTGAGCTGGGCCACTGGGAATGGAAACAGAGACAAATTGGGGGCTTGTGCTGCTGGTGGTGCACAGGGAGCTCCCAGGGAGGGAGAGGTGCCCGAGGGCTGTGAAATGTGAATAATGAATAATAACACACTTGTGGGTGAACCTTTCCCTGCCTCAGGCAGACGCTGGCTCAGGATCTGGCTGCAGCTGTGTGTTTTACACCGTGGTGACGAGGATAACACTCAGCCAATATCCATCTATTGCCCAGCAGAACAGCCAAACTCCCGGATCTGCCCTCCCTGGAATTTCCTCTGTACCTGATCTGTGCCGTGGATAGAAAAAGGCAAACGTGACACCGCCTGAAATACCCTTCTGCACAGCTATAATCTGCAATTATTGAAAAAGAAAACAGCTGCAAAGCACTTTCATGGCATGATGGAAGTTAATGAAGTCATTTATTTTATGGCCTTTTTACGGAGCAAAAAGGTCAAAAAAATATCTGTAGACTGTCTTAATACCACCCACAGTGTGAGGCTGGGCAGCAGCATAAAATCTGCAGAGACTTGCTGTCCTAAAATTGATGCTGTCATTCCCCACTTAATGCTTTTATCCCGATTTAATGCCAGTAAATGAAACTGCTTTGGGTTAAATGCTAGGAAAATTGGAAAAGTGTTTGAGTAGCTGCTTTCAACTCATTTGGCATCAATAATTATAGGAGGTGCTGATTTACTGTGTGGGTAAATAACTGGCTGTCAGTGGTGCGGACATCCCTGGGACTAAAGAGAAGAATAAAAATATCATAAACTGATGCAGTCCCTGCTCCAGTGAAACTGGGTCAATATGTTGGATTTGCTCCCACCTGGGCTGACAGCGGGGTACTCGAGGCACATGGCAAATGCAGTGGGTCAATAATTCTGTGGTTTAATTAGGCTTAATGATTTCCCTTATTAAATAAGCGCTGAGCCCCTGAAGTCCCTTGTGACACATGGAGGGGGTGGTTTGCAGCGTGTGCTGGTGCAAGGGCCAGCCAGAGGTGACACGAGTCCTGACCCTGCTGGTGACACACCGCTGCTGCCAGCCTGTCCCTGTCCCTGCCCCTGGGTGACAAACCTCTGCTGCCAGCTTGTCCCTGTCCCTGTGTGCTCCTGACCCTCCTGGTGACAAACCCCTGCTGCCAGCCTGTCTCTTGTCCCTGGGTGACAAACCCCTCCTGCCAGCCTGTCCCTGTCCCTGGGTGACAAACCCCTGCTGCCAGGCTGTCACTGTCCCTGTCCCTGTCCCTGGTGTGCTCCTGACCCTTCTGGTGACAAACCCCTGCTGCCAGTCTGTCCCTGTCCCTGTACCTGTCCCTGTCCCTGTGTGCTCCTGACCCTCCTGGTGCCACACCGCTGCTGCCAGCCTGTCCCTGTCCCTGGGTGACACATCCCTGCTGCCAGCCTGTCCCTTTCCCTGTGTGCTCCTGACCCTCCTGGTGACAAACCCCTCCTGCCAGCCTGTCCCTGTCCCTGGTGTGCTCCTGACCCTCCTGGTGACACACCCCTGCTGCCAGCCTGTCCCTGTCCCTGGTGTGCTCCTGACCCTCCTGGTGACAAACCCCTGCTGCCAGCCTGTCCCTGTCCCTGTCCCTGTCCCTGGTGCTCCTGACCCTCCTGGTGCCACATCCCTGCTGCCAGCCTGTCCCTGTCCCTGTCCCTGTGTGCTCCTGACCCTCCTGGTGCCAAACCCTTCTCCCTCAGCCCCCGAGGTGCCCGTGGCAGAGCCCCAGCCTGGCTCAGCTCCCCAGCTTGGCCCATCCCCAGCCCTGGGCTGTGTTGGAAACCCCTCCCTGGGGCTTTGGGGTGGCTCAGCAGGGCTCCAGAGGCTCTCTGAGCATTCCTGGAGCTGCTCTACCTGTCCTGCACCTGGGCTTGCCCAGCTCCTCCGCAGGCTTTGGGATCCTGTCCCTTTCCCCCTCCACGCTCCCCCTTTTTTCCCCTGTCTCATCACAATGTACTTCATGTACGTATTTATCCCGTGGTGGAAAATAAATGAACTCTTTAGGTAGTATCATCTTTCTCTGTGTAAAAATAATGATTTAATCAAATCACAGTGATTTGAAGTAATAAGAGATTCATTGTAATTTGGAAAATCTCATAAAAGGACTATTTATATCTCTTAGAAGTATTTGCTGAAAAAGTAATTTGCTAAAGTATGAAATATGGAGAGCATTGGGGAATCATTAAATCTTGTCACAGCAGTGCAGTGCTTGGTCACGAGCAGGGGTGAGAAGTGATTATTCCTGCTGTTGCATTTCAGCACCCAGCGTGTTTGGGTGGGTCATCTGGTGCCCAGAGCCCCTGAGCCCAGCACTCACCTCCAGCCCCGTGTGTGTGTGTGAGCTGTCTGCAGGTGATGGCTCAGGAAGGTGAAGCACAGGCTCAGGTGTGTGCTTGGAACGCTTGCCTCGTTCACCTGAGTGTTCTTGGGCCAGGCTCCTTCCAGAAAAGGCTCAAACGCTTGGAGAAGCATTTGAGATTTCCAGTGGCACGGATGGACCTGCAGGGCAGCACTGGGGGGAGTGTAGGAACAGTCCTGGCTGCTAAAATAACCCCTGGCAGAGTCCCAGGTGAGGCTGGCCAGGGCTGGAGCACCTGGTCAGGGCTGGCACTGATGGGATTTAGGGTCCTTCCAGCCCAAAGCAGCCCAGGATTTCTGTTCCCAGGCTGGGAGGGAGGGCAGTGTCCAGGGGCTGCCCCTGGCAGGGGCTCTGCAGGACCTTGGCTGTGTGAGAGCAGCACTGCAGGACCTGCACTGCAGCAGGGGTGGGGCTGCACAGGGCTCAGGTGGGGCTGCACAGGGCTCAGGGGAGGCTGCAGGTAAAATTTTCATTCCCTTTCAGCCTGGCAGGGACCAGGGCTCTGTCCAGCCCTGAGCCTGTCCAACTGTCACTCACCCACTTGGCCCAGTCAATAGGAAAGAATGGTGAAAAATGTTCCCTTTTTAATAGGGATCCATATTCCTGCCTGTGAATGCAGAGGGATCATTAAAGCAATCAATGGGAATGTTATTATTTGTTATTAAATCTGTAAAGGTTCAGAGTAATTCATAGGGAATTCTATTACAGTTTTATCAGGACTCATTGATTTTGTGTTATTAAGTTACAGAGCACTTTCCCCAGAGGTCAGTGAGTTTGGCACGTGGGGAGGGTTTATTGGTGCTCTTTCCCAGCCATATGGATATTGTAGATCTTAGGACTGGATATCCCCTTTGAAATGCTCTTTTAATTAGGAGGAAACTCAAAATACTCAGGTTTACAGGAAAAAAGTTTAAGTTGTGTGTCTGTAAAACCTGGCTGCTTTCTGAATATTCTTCTGACCCGTCCACGAGAATATTTTCCTTAGGAAATGTAATCCTACAAATGGTAATCATGGAATCACAGAACAGTTGGGGTAGAGAAATAGTGCTGGCCCTTCCAGGGAGCACACTGAAATGTTCCTAAACCACTAATTTGGTATTAGTTAGCTCCAACAGGGGTTTTAACCAATGATTTACTCAGTCTGGGGCAGGCCCAGGTGAGGTCCCTGCCTCAGGACAAGCAGAGCAGGGGGAGATGGGGTCTCTGGGAGGTTTCATTTCAGGCTGCAGTGCAGGGCTGGGGAGTCCAGGGGAGCTGATGGAGCACCCCAGCACCAGGAATCTGCAGCCCAGCACTGAGGGATGCTGCAGCCTGCTCTGCTGCTTCTCCTGCATTCCCCATGGGTTCCCTGCAGCACTCCAGGCCGGGGCTGTGCTCTGGGCTGGCACCCTCTGCTCTAGCAGGAACCTGCTTCTGCTTTTCATAAAGCACATCCTTGCTGGCCCCGCTGCAGGTGAGATTTCCGTTGGCTTTCAGGCTGTTTCTGGCTGGGTTTGGGATGTGTGGAGAGCAGCAGGCTCAGCCTGGGGAGGCACAGGGCAGAGCTGGGTCAGTGGCACACACAGCAGGGAGAGCAGGGGCTGGCCCCATTCCCAGTCTCCTCTGCAGCCTGGAAACAGCTGGGTTCCTGCTGGTTTTGTCCCTGCTGGAAGGGCTGTCCTGCTAATTCCGCCGTGCCAGATGGTTTTCCTTGGACTCTGCTCCCTGCTGTGCCAGCTCCTGGCTGTCCCCACCGACTGCCCAGGAAAGCCTTGGCTGCAGTGCCAGGAGCTCCCCTGCCCATGGAGGGAGTCTGCAGCCTCCCTGACCCTGCAGGGGCAGCACCAGGGGTGTCTTGGGCTGGGGGAGCTCCTTGCTGCCATCCTTGCACCCTCCTCTGCCAGAGTGCCCCGGGCTGGGGAAGTGTGGGAACCCCAGGGTTGGTTCAGGGGTCTCGTGGGGTGGAAAAGTCTCTCCTCCAAGCCGAGCTTCCAAAGAAAGGCTCAGCAGTCTCTGTTTTCGGTCTCAAGGCAGTTTATTGCAAGTTATCTAAAAGATTTTCTTCTTGGGCTGCTGTGGTTTGCTCACAGCTCAGGCAGAGGCACACACACACCCTGACATCCTCTCTGACTCCCGACTGCTTCTTCTCTCCCCCTCTGCCCAGGGCTGTGCTGTCTTTTATATGGTACATTACGTGTTACATGGGTACAGTTTTTCCCCAATGCCTATTACCTATATTAAATGGTGCTTTTCTATCTTTTATATGGTACATTACGTGTTACATGGGTACAGTTTGTCCCCAATGCCTATTACCTATATTAAATGGTGCCTTTCTACTCTAAACCAATCTGGGAGTGCCAACATCACCAAGAACATGGAGGTGAGGAAGAAGAAGGAGGAAGAACAGGATCACATTGGTGCACAGTGCATGATGCACAGTGATAGAACTCAAACAATGTGAAGAACAAGAGAGACAAAGAACCTTGTTTACATTCTTTCTCAGAACTTTCTCAGGCTTCAGCCTGGTTAGAAATTTCCCCTTTTCTCTTTGACTGAACGTGACCTACAGTGACGAGCACGGGTGACAAAGCTGCCCTGGCCTGTGCCAGGAGCTCGGGGCTGTGCCCCTGCTCCCTCTGAGCAGAGAGTGGGTTCAGCTGCACGGGAGAAAAGGCTCGAGGAAGGACAAAGGGCTGTGTGTGGGCACAGACTGTGCTGGCTGATCTGTGCCCGTGCAAACCGTGTTTGTCAGGGCACACCCAGAGCGCCGAGGGACAGCAAGAGGGTATGAATGTTGTGGGAGGGTGCTGCTGGCTCCAGTGGGGTTTGTGGGCACAGGGGCTGGTCACAGCCTGCTGAGATGGAGATGCCTCCTCTGGGCAGGCCAAGAACAAAATGTCAGCCCAATGTCAGCTGCACCATATCATTTATTTCCACTCCTTACTGGTACATCTCTATTCTATTCCGTGCTTTTTCCTTATAACTTTTTTAAATACTGATCTGTTTTACATTTGTCTTGCCCAGTTTTACACCTGGTAGTTAGAGTCATTCTCCTGCAGGATGCAGAGGAAACATGGATTTTCTCTCTCCCCACGGTGACGTGGCCAGAGCCGTGTGCTGGGTGCTGGGGGAGGCACGAGGGCAGTGCCAAGGACATTTCTGTCTGTGCCCATGCCCAGCTCCCAGGGCAGGGCAGCCAGGGCTCAGCCGTGCCCTCTCCTGCAGGCTTTGACACCTATTTCACCTCTCGCACCCTGGAGAACAACAGGAGGAACGTGTGGTTTGCAGAGTACTGGGAGGAGAACTTCAACTGCAAGCTGACCATCACTGGCTCCAAGAAGGAGGACACGGACAGGAAATGCACAGGTAATTAATTCATCCTCCTCTCCTCCTTCCTCTCCTCCTTCCCCTCCTCTGCTGGGCAGTGTGGGCCAGGAATGCATTTATTTCAGTGAAGGGTGGCTGGAGTGTTGGTTTGTTTTAGATGGAGGATGGAACAATTTAGGAAGGAATTGTTGCCTGGCAGGTGGGCAGCCCTGGCACAGGTGCCCAGAGCAGCTGTGGCTGCCCCTGGATCCCTGGCAGTGCCCAGGGCCAGGTTGGACACTGGGGCTGGAGCACCTGGGACAGTGGGAGGTGTCCTAGGTGGCACTTGGATGATCTACAAGGTCCCCCCAACCCAACCCATCCTGGGATTCCGTGCTCAGAACACCCTGGAGAGGCGTTGGGCAGAATGTGCCTCTGTGACACAGCAGCCACAGCCAGTGCTGTGTGTGGTGGCCACCCCAGCCTTCCCCCAGCCCCTCCAGCCTTCCCAGCAGCAGCTGAAATGTGTCCTGTTGGATGATTGCCTTGAGTTGTGATCGGGGGAAATCAGTTCTTGGGAGGATTTGTTCTGCTTTGACTGAAAACTGATGAAAAGTGGCCCAGAGGAGTGTGGAGGGAGCAGCTCAGCACCCCTGGACACACATCCTGCCCAGAGGAGTGGGAGGGAGGTTGGGTTGGAGCATTATCCGATGCTTTGTCTGGCATACAGGAGAAATTCAAAAGCTCATGTGCCTTCCCCAAGAAATCCCATGGGGATTGCTGGCTGGTGCTGAGATAAACTTTTGTCTCTACTATTATCGAGCTGGCAGCTGGGGCTGGGCCAGGGGGTTCTGTCAGGGCAGAGCTGTCACTGGTCCTGGAGGGCTTTGTCGGGTGGCAGTGCAGGGATTTCACTGCACAGGGGCCTCCTTGTCACCCGCTGCTCCCCCAAATGACAATATTTACCCTGGCACGTTGGTGGTGGCTCTGGAGCCCTGGTTCCCAGCTCCTTTAGGTCCAGAGCTGGTGTGCAGAAGCTGTCAGAGCCCTTGGGCAGTGTGTGCGGGGTCTGTGCTGGCAGTGAGCTGTTTGCAGAGGCTGCTCCATGGCCGGGGCAGTGCTGTCCCTGTCCCCAGGCAGGGCTGTGTGGTGCTGCTGGGGGTGGATGAACAGTGGAGAGTTTTCTGCCAGCGCTTCCCCAGCTGCCGAATTCCACCTTGTGCAAACAAGAGCTGCCTGTTTGATACCTCGAGTGCTCTGCAATCTTTAAATTAAATCTCTTGTTAATGATGAGTATCACCAGGTTCTCAGCAGCACTATTGTGTGAGACCCTTTGAAATTGTGTTTAATTCTTCAGGAACTGAAGCATTCTCTGAACTCATCTCGCGTGAGCACCGGCAGAGGGGATTTTGATGTCTGTCTGTGTGAATTATATGCCATAAGAATTGTCCTAGAGATACTGTTTACTCCTGCAAAGGCAAGCCCTGGGTAGTGTGGTGGTGACAGTGGGTGCAGAGGGAGCAGCTGCAGGAGGGGCAGTGGGAAGGGGCAGCTCTGTGCGTTAATGGGGATGAGGGAGGCAGCCCAGCACTCCTCAAACCTCCATCTCCCTGCTGCTGGAGAGGGAGCTGGAGCAATGCCATTCTTCATTCTTCTCTCTGCTCCCAGCACTCAGCTTCTTTCCCTGCCTTTGCTGCAGCGCTGCTCTCCTGCAGGACCCGCATCTCTCAGGAATCAGGGTGATGAGCACTTGAGCCTCGAGTGGGAAGGGGGTTAAACTGTCTGTCAGCACCTTCAAACAGATCCTTTGGAAGCAGAAAACCTCGTGTCAATAAACTGCTTTTGTGTTCCATCCTTCTCCTGACATCCCAAGGTACTCGTTGCAAACCCGTGGGACAGAAGTGTGTTCTCCTGGAATCACGTTGTGTTCGAGTGTGCCAGGTGTCAGCTGCTTCACTGCTGAGGCAAATCATGGTGCTGGGTGGCTCCTGCAGATCTCCACGTTAAAAAAAAACAGCAAAAATGCACCTTCTTCTCAAAGAGGAACAGAAATGGTGCAGTTCATAGAGGAGCAGGAATGGTGCAGTTCTCAAAGAGGAGCAGGAATGGTGCAGTTCATAGAGGAGCAGGAATGGTGCAGTTCTCAAAGAGGAGCAGAAATGGTTCAGCTCTCAAAGAGGAGCAGGAATGGTGAAGTTCTCAAAGAGGAGCAGGAATGGTGCAGTTCTCAGAGAGGAGCAGAAATGGTGCAGTTCAAAGAGGAGCAGGAATGGTGCAGTTCTCAAAGAGGAGCAGAAATGGTGCAGATCAAAGAGGAACAGAAATGGTGTGGATGGTGTTTGCTTTTCCTTTCCATGGTTTGGTCTGACAGCACAGAGGGGCTCATGGTTTCTTGCTGCACCCATTTTTTCGGTTGGTTCTCCAGCCTTCCCTCCGTGGGACCCCCAGGATGTCCTGCCAGGTCTGTGCTGGGGGTTCTCTCCTGCCCCTTCCCCAGAGGCACCCACAGCACTGCTCCTGCTGCTTTCATCTGGAGGAGCTTGGTGCCTTTTGGGAGCTTCCTTCTCCTGCAGAGTAATCAATAATTGAATTTCTGTACTCCCATTATTCGGGAGCTGTTCCTGGAGCCTGTGGTAAAACGTTCTGCCTGACTTCTTCAGCTCAGCCTCGGAGGGGGAAATGTTCCCCACAATAATGTCAGAGCTGGAATTAAAACTGTGCTCGTCACTTTTGGTTTATTCCTGCCTGGAAATGGACTTTGGGCCGATTTGCTGCTCACTGCAACAGCAGGAGGGTGACACAAACCGGAGGGAACACTGTTCAGACAGGCCTATTTATTTGGTTATTTGCTGGGTTTTTTGAAGTCCACAGAATATTTGGTCCATAACATTTCATAATCATAACATTTGCTCTGCAGGTTCTTTGCTGCTTTAGATTTGGGTTCAACTTCTAATTGCAGTAGAATCTCTTTAGAAGGTAGCTCAGCCTGTGTTTTGGTGAAGGACAGCTCCCAGCTGTGTAAATTCAGACATGTTTGGGGTGAGCAGCTACATTTGTCTCCACATCTGGATTTACTGTGCACAGTTCTTGATCCTGATAAGTTCTGTAATCTTGATGTTTAATACCCAGCTAAGTGGCTGTTCCAGCACAGGGAAGCATCCTCGTTCTTGGAAAGTCTATTGAGATTTAAAAATCTGTACAATTTTTGTGTTTGGACACTGTTACATTGCTCTGGGGTTTTTCCAGGTGCATTTTGCTTGGGTTCCTCTCCCAGATCTCTTCACTGCTGCCGGTTTTCCCCCAGCTGTGCCTCTGGAACTTGCTGTGGCTTATCAGTGCTGTTGTGTGCAGCATTTCAATGCCAATCCCCTCCCCTGGCATCCATTCCTGCTGCATTGCTCATTTGGTTACAGAGCTGAAACCACTTAAAAGCATTTTCCTTGTCAGGGCTTGAAATCCTGATAAGTTCTGTAATCAATGAGAGGGAGTGAATAATGAAAAGGATCCTGCCTGGAACTTCACCAGCTGGGAAGTCACTTTTTGGGCTCAGCTCTTTGCAGGATTTCAGGGCTTCCAGGGCAGCTGAGATTTAAAACTGGGGGGTTTTGGTAGAGGGTGCTTCAACCATCATGGAACCATGGAATGGGTTGGGTGGGAAGGGACCCTAAATCCCACCCAGTGCCACCCTGCCATGGCAGGGACACCTCCCACTGTACCAGGAGCTCCAGCCCCAGTGTCCAGCCTGGCCTTGGGCACTGCCAGGAGTTAATAGACAGTTTCAGGGGAAGGAATAAATCAGATTCCTGATTCTGAGCCTGCAATGCCTGTTCCAGGCTCCGAAAATCCTGCTTGGTTTGCTGCCTGATTGCAGAGCCCCCTGACCTGTTCAGGTGAGCAGAAGGGCACAGAGGCCACCTGTGGCCATGGTCACCACGCCGCACCTCCATCTGCAGCCCGAGGGCCAGGGGGGATTCAGGCTGGAGCCGAAATTCAGGGTTTAGGCTCAGCTCTTCCATCACTCCCTTCTCTCCTGCTGCGGCATTTTAGAGGCACTGATGGCATCCGGCAGGACGGGGCAGGGTTTGTCTGTCTGGGTTATCAACAGTCGGTGATTCTGGCTCTGGAGCATCCCGAGCCCGGAGCAGCTCCAGAATCGGGGAGCGGGGCAGGGTTTGTGTCTCTGGGTTACTGAGTCAGTGATTCTGGCTCTGGAGCATCCCGAGCCCGGAGCAGCTCCAGAATCGGGGTTGGTGTCGGGGAGCAGGGCAGGGTTTGTGTCTCTGGGTGACCGACAGTCGGTGATTCCGGCAGCAGGGCCCAGTGTGGTTATGTTTGAGTTGATAACGCTGCAGCCCAGCAGGTTTTGCTCTCCAAGCCTCGGTGCCAGGGCAGCCCTGTGCCCTGTCCCTGAGTGTCCCTGAGTGTCCCTGAGTGTCCCCGTGTCCCCGCAGGGCAGGAGCGCATCGGGAAGGACTCGCACTACGAGCAGGAGGGGAAGGTGCAGTTCGTGATCGATGCTGTGTACGCCATGGCCCACGCCCTGCACCACATGAACCGCGACCTGTGCGCCGACAGCGCCGGGCTGTGCCCCGAGATGGAGCAGGCGGGGGGCAAGAGGCTGCTCAAGTACATCCGCAGCGTGCACTTCAACGGTGAGACACGGCCGGCCGGCTGTCCTGCTGGCATCCCTGTCCCCTGCTGGCATCCCTGTCCCCTGCTGACATCCCTGTCCCCTGCTGGCATCCCTGTCCCCTGCTGGTACCCCTGTCCCCTGCTGGAACCCGTGTCACCTGCTGGCACCCCTGTCCCCTGCTGGAACCTGTGTCCTCTGCTGGTACCCGTGTCCCCTCCTGGTACCCGTGTCACCTACTGGTACCTGTGTCCCCTGCTGGCACCCCTGTCCCCTGCTGGTACAAGTGTCCCCTGCTGCCATCCCTGTCCCTGCTGCCATCCCTGTCCCTGCTGCTATCCCTGTCCCCTGCTGGTATCCTTGTCCCCTACTGGTACCCGTGTCCCCTACTGGTACCCCTGTCACCTACTGGTACCCCTGTCACCTACTGACATCCCTCGGTCACCTACTGACATCCCTGTCACCTACTGGTACCCTGTCACCTACTGATACCCCCTGTCACCCCTGTCCCCTGCTGCCCTGCCCCAGGGGATCCCTCCTGCCTCCCGAGGCGGAGCAGTGGGGCTGTGTGTGACAGGAACAGCGTGGCCTGTCCTCCTGCTGCTCTCAGTGTCCCCAGAGCTGGGCATGCTGCTGCTGGGGAGCAGCTCTGCTCAGCCCCGTGCAGCTGGGACCGCCCTGGGCTGGGCTGGGATTGCTCTGCCCTGAGCTGGGACCACCCTGAGCAGACCCTGCTGGCCCTGCCCTGGGGCTGGCCCTGCCCTGGGTCTGTCCCTCCTTGCAGAGGTGCTGCCAGCAGTGCAGCCAGGGCTGCAGCGAGGCTGTGATGGAGAGAGGCTGGATCTGAGTGAGGAGCTCAGCGTGCATTTTGTGATCATGTCCTGGATGACAAAAGGCCCAAAATATGGAAGACTTTAAACCTCAAGTGCTCAGCCAGTGAAATTCTGGAAGTTTTGAAGTGCAGCTGTGTTTTGGCAGTGAAAGGCTGAAGATGCTGTTCATGGGAATCCCTTGGGTGCCCAAACTGGCAGGAACGTGCCCTGAGTACCAAACACCCTGGCTGGTGACACCTGTGTCACTCCTGTCCCCCTCTCCATAATTCATTTCTCATCTTGCAGTGATTAAGAGATCGAAACCCTGCAAACTCAGTCAGACTGTGTCTGGGTTTGAGGGCTTCCTGCAGGTGTCAAGTGCCCTGTGTCTGTGTGGGGAAAAGGCAGCTCCTTTGTTGGGGACTGAATTAAATTGTCACAGCTCTGCATGAGCAAGGAGCTGCAGCCTGGAGAGTGGCAGAGGGTCTGAACTGCTTACTGGGCTCAGCAAAATCTGGGAAATCTTAACAGAAAGAAAATAAATCCTAAATGATCAAGAACCAGTGGAATAACAACATGTTTTAATGACTGGAAGATCAAGGGTTATTTGTGAAACGCCTGTTTCCTCTCTGCGATGAGGTTTTCATACATCACTTTTTATTAATTCCATTATTTCATGCAAGGAGCCGGAGCTGAAGCTGGAGCGCTGCAGTGATGCAAAGCAGGACTGACAGAGCCTGCAGCCAGGTGGCACAGAAAGGGCTCCAGAGCCTCACCCAGAGGTTAAGGAGGATGGCCCTGCTGAGCAGAGCTTGGCTGGAGCCCAATTTCTGCAGCTTCAAAGGCACTCCGAGGGACACTTCTGCCCGAGGTCACAGCGCTTCCCTCTCCCAGCTGCTCCCTGGATCTCCGCCAGCCTGGCTGTGTCACTTTGGCACAGAGCTCTGCAAGCAGCACTGCTGCTGCCCGTCCTGCAGAGCCGTGCCCGAGGCCCTGGCACCCTGGCCTCTGCTCCAGAGGGGGCACCGAGGCTGGAGAGGGAACACAAACCCTGTGAGGAACGTCTGAAGGAGCTGGGGCTGTTCAGCCTGGGCTGTTCAGCCTGTTCAGCCCTGTGAGGAACGTCTGAAGGAGCTGGGGCTGTTCAGCTGGAGAAGAGGAAGCTCAGAGGTGACCTCATTGCTCTCCACAACTCCTGAAGGGAGGCTGCAGACAGGTGGGGTCGGTCTCTCCCACTGGGCAGCAACTGGCAGAACCAGAGGACACAGCCTCAGCTACGGCAGGGAAGGTACAGGTTGGATATTAGGAAAAAAATTTTCATGGAAAGAATAATAAAGCACTGGAATTGTCTTCCCAGGGAGGTGGTGGAATCACCATCTCTGGATGTGTTTAAAAAATACTGGACTTGGCACTTGGTGCTATTGTTTGTTGAGGTGTTAGGGCATGGGTTGGACTTGATGGTCTCGGAGGTCTCTTCCAACCTCGTTATTCCATGATTCTGTGATTCTGTGATCCTGTGATTCAGTGATTCCATGATCCTGTGATTCTGTGGTCCTGTGATTCTGTGATTCTGTGATGCTGTAATTCTGTGACCCTGTAATTCTGTGGTTCTGTCCCTGCAGTGCCCAGCCCACGGTGCTGTGCAGCCCTGCTGGAGCCACAGGCATCCCAGGCCACTTCCAATGCCTTTTCTGGGGTTGGGTGCTGTTCCCCTGGGGGGCTGTGCTGTGTTCTGGCTGTGTCCCCTGAGGGTCTGTCCCAGCACTGCCTTTGGGGTGTCCATCCTCCACCTGCCTCCTGACAGCAGCCCTGCCCCTTCCCGTGTGTGTCTCTTGCATTTTGGGACCCCAGCCCAGCTCCTGCCATTCCAGATGTCCTGTTCTTGTCAGCCCTGACAAAGCTGAGCCCAACTCACCCCAAGCAGCCCTAAGAGTCGTGATCAGCCAAATCCCATTTAGCACTTTGCTGCCTTTCCTGAGGAGCCAGGGAATTACAGCCATTGCTTCTGATTGACTCTAAGTGTTTCCACTCAAATGTATTCTGGCTGCATGAATCTGTAATGACAATTAAATATCTGCCTGGTGCTCACTAGGAACCAGCGAGGAGAGATTTCAGTGGGAGATTTCCTGTACCAGCCTTTGAACTGAATTTGTATCTGATCTCAGAGGATTGTAGGAGAGACAGGAAACAATTTACCAGGGCTGGAATGGAGACTATGCTAATTCACTCCTTCAAATCTTTTTTTTCACTCCCTGGATTTCAATGAAGAATGGGACTCATGAAGAAAACGATAATCTTAAAGTTCAGTGCTACAACAGGAGAGATTTTTCATTGCTTTAGGGGAAAAAAGTTACACAGGAGGAGGAAGCTTTGAATATAGATATGCTTGAGGATTGTCATAATCTTCAATCTTGACACAATATTACTCTGCCCTACCAAAACCTATTTCAATATGTCTGGAAATAAATGTCAGCCTGGAAGGTCGCTGCTGGAGCTCTGAGGAAACGAGGCAGTGCTTTGGGTTCTCCTGCTGGGAGCTCACCTGAGCTCAGGTGGCAGAGCAGCTCCTGCTGTGCCCGTGCCCGTGTTGGTCACTTGAGTGCAGGGTCAATCAATTAATTCAGGGTCCTGCTCTGGGTCTGCCACCACACTCCCATGGCAGTGCCACAGAGCCCGGATCAGGGAGTGCACAGGGAGAGCTCTTCCCAAATCAGGGAGTGCACAGGGAATGCTCTTCCCAAATCAGGGAGTGCACAGGGAGTGCTCTTCCCACATCAGGCAGTGCACAGGGAATTCTCTTCCCAAATCAGGGAGTGCACAAGGAATTCTCTTCCCAGATCAGGGAGTGCACAGGGAGTGCTCTTCCCACATCAGGCAGTGCACAGGGAATTCTCTTCCCAAATCAGGGAGTGCACAAGGAATTCTCTTCCCAGATCAGGGAGTGCACAGGGAGTGTTCTTCCCAAATCAGGGAGTGCACAGGGAATGCTATTCCCAAATCAGGGAGTGCTCAAGGAGTGCTTTTCCGGGATCAGGGAGTGCTCAAGGAGAGCTCTTCCCAAAGGCTCCTCTGGCCTCTCCTGCCCACGATGTCGGGAATGGAACATGTTGTGGAGGAGGAGGAGGAGGAGGAGGCTATTTCTGGATGCCAGTGGATGCTGACTTGTGACAGCAGCCCCTCTCAGGAGCAGATGGGCCATTTTCTGGGGGGAGGCAGCCTTTAGAGGTTCTGCTGCAGGGCAGGAGGAAAAGCCTTCTGACATTTCTGGCCATGGGCAGGGTAGGGTGAGGTGAGGCTCGCCTGGGCAGGCTGTGCTTGTTCCAGGCAGCAGGCAGGGCAGGGCTGGGTGTGTGGGGCAGGGCTGGGTGTGTGGGGCAGGGCTGGGTGTGTGGGGCAGGGATGGGTGTGTGGGGCAGGGCTGGATGTGTGGGGTAGGGATGGGTGTGTGGGGCAGGGATGGGTGTGTGGGGCAGGGATGGGTGTGTGGGGCAGGGCTGGGTGTGTGGGGCAGGGATGGGTATGTGGGGCAGGGATGGGTGATGGCAGCATCCCGAGTGCCTGCTCTGGGTGGCTGCAGCATGGACAACCTTGGCCTGGAACGTGTTTCCAGTGCAAAAGCTCAGGTGAAAGACTGGTGATGAAAGACTGGCTGAAGGTTTGATGCTGGCTGGTTGGATTTTGTCTTGTTTCCTTCCCCAGGCAGTGCTGGCACTCCAGTGATGTTCAACAGGAACGGGGACGCCCCGGGGCGCTACGACATCTTCCAGTACCACAGCAGCAACACCAGCACGCCCGGCTACCGCCTGGTGGGCCAGTGGACAGACGACCTGCAGCTCAACGTGAGTCCCCCTGCTCCTGCTCCCACTCCCGTGGGCACTCGGTGGGATATTGCTGTTCCTCACAGCTCCACAGATGGGCTTTGCACTCTGTCTCCCCTCCTGTGCCCTGCAGCCTTCCCCCTGTACCCAGAGAGCCAAAGCTCCTCAGACCAGCAGGGACATGAGGTGCTCATGCAAATTTTATCACTCCTGCGTGTCTGCAGTCCCCAGCTGCCAGCTTGAGAAATGAAGCTGTGATTTGTTGTAGTTTGAAACCGCTGGGCTTTCGCTTGCAGATGCTTTTCGGTTTTTCTTGTCGTTGGAAGGCTGGAATGAGGTGTTTTTGGAGTGAGTCACTTCTCCAGTGGTGCTTTTGATCGTGTGGGTGAGGTGGCCTTTGTGGGATGGTGCCTAAAGGAAAACAGGCACTCAGGAGCTCAAACACACTTTGATGTTTCTCAGGAAAAAAGCCAGAAGTGGTGGGTGGGAGGCTGGAGGCGGTGTCAGCCTCACCCTCCAGGCTGGCCTGTGCCTGGCTGGGTGCAGGATCCTGCTTGGCTGTGCACTTTGCTCCTGGAGAAGTGTGCCAGGTCTGTGCCGGGCTCCCTGCAGAGCGTTCTGACACCCTTTTCAAGGCCCTTTTAGGGTCATCTGGGCTAAAAGCCAGGGAATCTCAGAAAAACGGGAAGCTGGACAAGACAAACGCAGGTCTGAACCAATGTGGTTAATCAAACTTTCTCCGTTTATTCAAGATAAGATGGTAGTTTATATAAGCTTCTATATAGTTTACAAAAACAAAAGTGCTCTGATTGGCAAGCTAACACTGTTTACCTTTTCCTTCAGATGGCCTGAACCTTACACTATGAACCTATACTAATTCACACCCAGACAGCCCAGTGCTCCCCGTCACACCTTAATACTATTTCTATCTGCACCACAAACTCTTAATTTCTAACTGTGCCACAAACTCTCAATTTCTAGCTGCGCCAGAGGCCTGAAGGCCTCACCAGGCCCAAATCCGAGGCCTAGACTGGAGTAGCTCAAATCTCATAACTCATGTCCTCTTTCTCTGAAAAATGCTGCAACATGGGCTCTTCAGCCACGGGGTGAGGCAGAGCGAGGTGTTCTGAGGGGAAATGGCTGTGGAGGAAGGGTTGTGTCCCTCCGTCAGCCTGCGCACCCCAGCAGCACTGGGAACTCTGGGGGTGCTGGGGCTCCTTCTGGGGCTCCTGCTGTGCTCCTGCTGTGCCTCTGCTGCCACATCTCCTTTGGAAGGGGGCAGGACAGGCTGTGTGACACGGCCCAGCCATGACACCCCTCCAGAGGCGGCCAGGACACACTGGGGGGACCTGGGGGCCGGCATGGAGGGTGACCCCAAGTGACCCAGGGGTGACCCTGGGGATAACCCAAGGGGGTGACCCAGGAGGTGACCCAAGGGGTGACACAGGGGTGACACAGGGTGACCCCACGGTGACCCAGGGGTGAGCCAGGGGTGACCCCACAGTGCCCCATGGTGACCCAGGGGTGCTCCCAGCCCAGGCTCTCTCTGGCCCCGGTGTCACACGCTGCCCTGTGACCTGTGGGGACACCCGGGCTGCCCCAGCCCCTGTGCCTGGGACACAAGCCATGGGCTGCCCTCAGGGGTCACAGCCATCCCCTGCGTGCAACCAAAGGCACAACACTTTCTATTTTTGATGATTTCATGGTTTTTGCTAAATCAGGTAAATAATGTGGGTCACCGAGGGTCCACTCCTGCAGGCTGATCACAAACAATATTTTATTCTCCTTGAATTTTGGCTCGTTTTTATTTTCTGTGTTTGATTTGCTCTTTCAGGGCTTTTCAGCTTCTGATGTTCTATATAAGGAAACCTATATTAACTTGCACTTTTCAGTTCTTTTAGCAAAAATATTAATATTTTATCAAGCAAATCCTTCTTTATGTAAACTGCACATCCTGGTCCATTAAAATTTAAAGCTAAATTAATGGAGCTTGATTTGTATTCCTGTTGTTGTGCTAAATGTTTCCATAAAAAGACCTCTTTGCTCACCCTCGTAGCCTCCTGGTCACAGGGTCATAGCAGTAGTTGAGATTTTCTCACTAACTTCCCTTCTAATCACTCAAGTGTCCCAGTTTCTCACACAAATATATATCTAAGATAGTCCCTTTTGTATTATTGGATTATTTCTTGCAATAATAAAGACAATTGTGGAGTCTAGAGAAGTCGAGGATCCCTGGAAATAACCAAAATAAATTCTATTAAATGCATCCCAGGGAAAACTAGCAGAGGATGCGATTTGTCTTCAGTCATTATTGTGGCAATGACCCTTCAGGGGATTTTCCCCAGATTTATTTCTCAAACAGCACGAGGGGAAGGGCAGGGGTGCAGGGGCTGGTTTGGGGCTGGCAGACGTGCTGTGGTGCTGTTCCCCAGAGCTCTGACACTCTGGGCAGGCTGGGTCAGCCCCGGTCTGCATTCCCTGGAATGGGAAAAGCTCTGCTCACACCCCACAGGTAAAGGGCTCTCCCAGCCCACAGGTAAGGGCACTGCAGCTCACACCCACAGGTAAGGGCACTGCAGCTCTGCCCACACCCCACAGGTAAGGGCACTGCAGCTCTGCTCACACCCACAGGTAAGGGCACTGCAGCTCTGCTCACACCCCACAGGTAAGGGCACTGCAGACGAGTGCTTAGAGGTGAATGGTATTGATAATTACTGATAATTATCAGTGTGGTTCCATGGACACAGCTGTTCATGGCTCCCCTCATCAAGCCCCGAGGAGGTGGCGTGGGCTCCTGCACAATTCCCTCTCCCTGGGCAAGGAGCTGGCACTGCTCTTTGCTTGGGGAGCAGAGTGAGAAATAAAACCTTGCTTGGAAGCAGCAACAGGCTCAGGGTTTGGGGATGGGGTGAGCTGGGGTCAGTGCTGGGCCCGGAGCAGGGGGAGCCTTTGCTGGCAGGACAGGGACAGGGACAGGGACACCATGGTCAGGGACACCACGGTCAGGGACACGGTATGCAGCTTCCACCCTGCAATCCTTTTTCCCCCACAAACAGAAGTACATTGAGTAACTCTGTAATCCTCTGTGCAATTTATGTGGAACCTGCTCACTTCAACACCTCCTGAATGTTTGGGCTCAGACTAATCAATTTACATGCCATAAACATCTCTGTTAGGGAATTTGGAAATAAATGTTATGAACAGTGAGCTGCTGAAGAGAGTAATTATCTGTCTAACCTGCTGGCAAGAGACCTGGCTGTACCTGCCTTTTTTTGATAAAATATTTGAATTGGAATTGGATCCAAGCACCTCTTCAGTGATGTTTGTTGCTCAGGAATATTCTGCCAACAGATGGTATTTTTCTAAAATAACATGTTCAATTTGATTTCTGTTTGCGAGGGTTTTGTTTTCTTGGGCTTGTTGCTGGGGTTTGGGTTTTCCCTTTGGAGCAGAATGTGTTCAGAGTAGACGGAGTTCCTGCTTTGGCACTGTGAGGGACACTCTGCACCTGCAGCTGGTGACTGGGGTCACCCCCGACTGGGGGCTCTGGGACTGCAGCTGGGTTTGGTGTTTTTGGCTGCTGGAAGGGATTGATCAGCTGGGTTTGGTGCTTTTGGCTGCTGGAAGGGATTGATCAGACAAGGGCACAGCTCAGGACACCTGATGGGACCCACCTGGGCTGGGCAGGGCTGCTGGCCACAGGAAGGGGCTGCAGCTCTCCCAGCCAGGGCACGCTGCCCTTGCAGGTTTGTGCTGCAGCACAGCAGCAGGGCAATGGTTAAATCTTGCCCCAGGCTCGGAACTGAAGAGGTGAAATGGCATTTCCTCTGTGTGATTGACCAGGCCCAGGCAGTAACAACAGAGAGCAGCACCGGGCAGGCGAGGGAGCTCAGCTCCATCAGCTCTGGCAAGGCACAACACGCTGGGGTCCTGCTGCAGGTCTGGGAATGCCACAGGGAAAAGTGTGGGGATACAAACACTGAGGGAAAGCAGGCTGAGGGAGTCTGAGATGGATTACATGTGTGCTAAAGACACGAGAAAACTGGAGTGTAAGGGGCTCATAAAAGCTATAATGGCAAAAAAATGGTGTAGCAGAAGACTTGACTTGAGGTTTTGCTTTGTCTTGTGTTGTTCCCTTCCGTGCCCACGGGCCTGTGGGCAGACACACTCTGAGAATGAGTTATGTAAGAAATGGGAGTTAAAAAATAAATCACCTGCTCTTCCAAAGAGGTGCTGGTTCTGTGCCTACACATCCTCTGTAAAGCCTTTTTGCGAGGCTAATGTGGTTTTGTCAGCAAATATATGCAAGAGCAAACGCTTTGCTGGGATATTTTATGGCTAATGAACATGTTTGGTTGCTTTTGGCAGGAGTAACAACGTCAGTTTGTGTGTTATTGAGGGTGCAATATCCTTTATTTAATACCTGAAAGCAGGGAGAGGCTCTCCAGTGACAGATGTGCTTTGTTGTGTTTGGAGAAGCTCCCCCAGCTGTGCAGAGCACCAGAGCGGTGCTGCTGGCACGGCTCCTCGGGGGGCAAGGTGGGTACAGCACCCTCAGCAGCACGGGGCATCTCGGTGCCACCCAGCTAACCCAGCGGGGCTCAGGCTCCCAGCCAGACCCACTGACGGCTCCTTCAGCTGAGTTCTGCAATATTTCCACCCCTCTTCCCCCTCAGCTGAGTGCTGCAATATTTCCACCCCTCTCCCCCCTGGTTCCAGCCCAGCTGGGCCCCCACAGCTCCTGCCCAGGAGCATCCCTGTGGCACCTCTGGCACCTCTGGGGCTCATCCCCAGGGCCGTGGAGGTGGCAGCAAATGGTTCATGTCTGTGTCTGTCCCTGCCCTGGCAGGGAGGCTGGGTGGAGATATCCTCTGTCTGTCTGTCCGTCTGTCTGTGTCTGTCTGCCCACTGAAGGGACATGGGCACGGGTGGGCAGTGCTGTGGGCTCTGCACAGAGCAGAGTCCAAGAATATCAGCAGAATAATGATTGGCTTTGTGCCTCCGGATCAAAGCCCCCTGTG